GGTCCCTATGAGTTGGAGCCGACTCAACGGCACGTAACAACAACAACAACAATATGGAGTGAGTTAGTACAAGTGATGCATCATCTGTCTTCTTTCTCAGGATGACCCTTGGCTATGTGAGTGACCACTGGGCACAATATGTGAGCCATAATCAAAGCTTGGGCTTGGCCCTGCAGCCCTACTCCATGGAGAAACTACAGGTTGAGTTTGATGAGCTGTTTCTCAGGGCTGTTCTACATGTGCTGAAAGCTAAAAGGTAAGAAGGTTGGTGATAATTGTTGAGAAGTAACAGGAAGATTGGAGTGAAAGTCATTGACTGAAGTAGATCTTATGATAGTGTCATCTGGTATTTCATCTATTTCTTACTTATACAAATTCTTGGGCTTAGTTTCCTTATCTGTAGTACATTCCCTGCTAATGGAAATGATTTCTCTTGTAGGTCTCTTTCCATCTTAAAATACCCTGTTTCTTATTTCTCAATTTTGTCACCCATGAACTTTTAGGGCAGCCTTGAGCAGGGGAAAACAAAGATAAATTCTGTTACCTATTCAACTATGTTGTTGTTAGGTGCCGCCGAGTTGTCTCCAAGTCATAGCGATGCCTCCTTGGGTTTCTGAGGCTGTATCACTATAGAACTAGATTGCCCAACGTTCCTTCCGAGGAGTGGCTGGTGGGTTTGAACCACCAGTCTTCTGGTTAGCAGTCAGGTACCTTAGGCACTATGCCACCAGAGCTCCTGTTCACCTATAGTACACATTAAAAAATAATCCAAACCAAACTCACTGCTGTCAACTTGATTGCAACTCATAGCAACCCCTTCTTGGGTTTTCACGGTAGTATCTCTGCGAAGTGATTGCCCAATCTTCCTTCTGGGGAGTGGCTGTTGGGTTTGAACCGCCAGTCTTCTGGTTAGCAGTCAGATGCCGTAGGTACTATGCCACTAGAGCTCCCATAGTACATATACCCAGGCATAATAGGTACTTAGTAAATGGTACACACAATTTGCTTATTTTATTTTTCAGGTTGTCTTACTGTAGGATTTTAGAATCTTAGACTGTCTGGGATTCTGGTCCCCTGTCTTGGTTGTAGTGAGCCATGGTGATACACTAGTTAAAGTACTTAACTGCTAACCAAAAGTTTGGCAGTTCAAATCTGCCAGCTGCTCTGTGGGAGAAATATGTGGCAGTCTGCTTCTGTAAAGATTTACAGCCTTGGAAACCCTATGGGGCAGTCCTATAGAGTTGCTGTGAATCGGAATTGATTTGACGGCAGTGGGTTTTGGTTGGGTCTTGGTTGTATTCTTAATGTCTTCTGATCACACCGTTTTTGCTGCTGCTTATGGCTGAAGATAGTTTTGAGACGTAGGCTCTGCATGGTAGTGTGTCCCTCAGTGCCTTCTCTGAGCCTCTGGTGAGGTAGGAGCAGGTTCTGCAGCCTTGCACCCTCCGCTAGGGATGTTGGCAGCCTCCGTCCCACCCTACTCATGAACTGCTAGCTCCCCCCTTGAACCTTTCCCAAGCTGTCTATCCCCCTCTTGCCACAGTGTTCTTAGTCTCAGCCCCAGATTCCTGAGTCTTGGTCTGCCACTTAGTGTTATCTTGGACAAATCACTTAATATTTATGTTCTTCCTTTCTTCGTTTATAAAATCATATCATCATAATGATACTGCCTTTTCCATCAGCCTTGTGGATATGTTATGAGGATGAAATGAGGTCATATAAGGAAACTTTTAAACCATAAAGGACTTTTCATATGTAGGTGGTGGTTGTCCTTGTGGATTCAGATGAAGGACAGATTAACTTGCCACTTAGAGAAAGATTAGGGCTCTTTGGCTAACTAAGTTTTAGCACTTTTAGGCCCTCAGGAAGGCTTGGTCTGACTTAACTAGGACTTGGCTTAGAAATTTATCTTTAGATTACCCTTGTTACGCATCCTCTTGTCCATGAATTTGGTGGTCTCCTGAAGTGCATCCCATCCTGTGCAGGATCCTGTCGGACCCAGTGCAGCCACACACACCCATGATGCCCTTGTGGTGCCTGGGGAGAGTCTCCCAACTCCGATCTACTGTCATTCAGTTGTGCGCTTGCTTTGCTTACCCTAGTTACTTGGGGGCCCTTATGTACTGAGCTGTGAACTCTACCTACAGCAATATATATGTGTTCCACAAGGATGATCATCATTTTAATTTTCAAAATGTTGAGAAAGCCTGTTCTTGCATTGTGTGAGAATAACAACACTTGGCAATCCATTATTCTTTTCTTTCTTTTTTAAAAATTGTGATGTGGGTGAAAGTTTACAGAGCAAATTCACTTTCCATACAGCAGTTCACATACACTTTGTCTCATGACATTGACTACAATTTACCTCCATGCAACAGCTCCCCTTCCACTGCCTCCTGATAGTTACTTTTTCCCTGTGCCCATCCCTCCTTGCACTTCTGCCCCCTGAGCTGTCTCCCTGTGCATAGACAGCACTTCTTTCTCCTGTGTTTGTTCTCTCCAAGGAGTGTATCTACCTCAGGTAAATGTTCAACTCATCTGCCTGTCTTTTGTTTGGCTGTAAGCCACAGGTGTGGGTTCAATTCCAGACCTGAAGGGCAGCTAGGGGCCATAGTC